CCCAGGCACCCTCCGCCCCCTGGGCCTGCGGCCACCCTGTGGGCTCGGCGAGGGTCTCCCCACCGGGCCTGGCCACGGCGGGGCGCCCGGGGCGTCTCCTTCCCGCAGAGGCCGCGCCACGTGCCCGCTTTCTCCCCCTAAACGCGCCGCTGCAGTAGCTGTGGACGCGCCGTCGTGACTGACGTGAACTTGGCCCCAGCGGGATGCTCCAGGAGCTGGGCGCCGTCAGAGGCTGGTGGACGGGCCCGCTGGGAACCAGCCCGGGCTGCGTTCCGCCCCCGCGGGGCGGCCTCGGGCTGAGCAGGGCGGGCAGGCGGCTGAGGGGGAGGCGCCCCCGGGTGGGGCGGCCAGTGCGGCAGAGGGGGGAGGTGGACCCGGAGCTGGGCGTCTCCCCGATCTGCCCGCGTCTGCAGCAGAGTCCAGGACGCTTCTGCCTCCTGCCTGGCTCCGAGGGGCCCCGCCCAGCCTCGGGACCCAGGTGCCGTCCAGGTCGGTGGGTCTCGGGCGCCCGCCCCGTCCCCAGCCCTGCACTCCGCCAGCGGCCGAGCCGGGACCCTCGGGGCCGGGGACGTGGGCACCCCCCGGGCGCAGTGGGTCCTCGACCGCCCCCTCCCAGCCTCCCCGAACTCTTCCCAGAGCCTCCGGGCCCCGCTCGGGAGGGGCACCTTCCAGCTGGCCAGGCCCCCAGCCGAGCGCCCCCAGGACAGCGTGACCGCTTCCTGTCCGCCACCTCGGCCTTGGCCTGGGCGCTCCGGCACGTCCCCCCGTCCCCGGCCTGGCCCGCCCTTGCAGTCCCCCTCCGCCCCAGGGCTGGGGGCTCCAGTGCTCGGGGAAAGCCCAGCCTGGCACTGCCACCTGCGTCCCCCAAGCCCGGCTGACCCCCACGGCCGGCCACGCCCTCTCCCTGGGCATCCTGCTCTCCCGGCTGCGGCCAGCGCGCCAGGTGCCTTCCTGGCCGCGTCTCAGAGACGGCCCTGCCCGCCGGGCGTCGGCCGGGCGCAGTGGACGAGGCAGGCTGGGCGCCCTCGACCGCCCTGCTGGCACTGAGGCCCAGGATCCCGTGGGAGGGGGAGCTCAGGCCTCTGCTCACCTCACGCGCCCAGACGGATGGCGCCCGGGTCCGTGCTGAGGCGCCACGAGCCTGAGCCAGCTCCCCGCCGGGG